GGCCCGCCGCAACACGGGCCAGTGCCGTGGAGGCTTGTTCGAAGACCGCCACCCCCTCCTGGATGAGGGCGCGAGTTGGAGCGGTAGCGGGAGCTGTAGCAGCGGCAGCCACGGGGGGTGGTGCACCACTGCTGCGGTGGTTGGTGAGCTGGGCCCTCAGGTCTCCTCCCGACCTATTGGAGGCGGCCGGTTGGACGCTGGGGGCCCTGTTGGGGCCGTTCCCGTTTGCGACGAGCTGGGTGCCGCGGGAACCGTTGGTGTGGCGAGAGTTGGATCTCGATCTCGTCATCGCTGTGGATGAATGATAATGGGGAGAGCGCTCAAGCTTGTACAGCAGCTCTCAATAAGAGCACCAATGATGGATTTAATTCCCCGGGGGTAGCCCGAATTATTAAACCCGGATAAGTATACGTACGAAATAAATAATGTGACACAGAGATATAATAAGGTCGCGGGGACCGTAGGTCGCAGGGACCGTATATTGTATTAATTATCACTAATAAGCTATTACAAGGCTTGATTATGACAATAAGGCTAGAAGATAGCAATTTAGGAATCTATTGTGTTGTGTAATGATCAGGTCCCTTGTTAGGACAAGAGAGAGTCCTTTTATATCAGCTCAAACTCCCCAACCGTACCCCTAGAATCGGGGTTAGTTGGATCGGCCCGCCTTGACCGCGCCCCCCCGGGACCGAGTCCAAGGCGGGCCAACTTGGCATGGCCGAGCTGCCGAGCTCGGCCTAGCCGAGTCCAGCCGACTCGGCAGGGCCGAGCTGCCGAGTCCACCATTGACCGACCCGCCAGTGGCCGAGTCCATGGTGGTGGGCTCGGGTGTACCGAGCCCACCCGTGGCCGGACTCCGCCCAAGGCCGAGATGCCTTGGGCCAACTCGGCCACGGCCCACTTGACTGGGCCGAGGGGCTTCTCGGGTCCGTCTCTCCGGGTCGGTTCGTTCCGAGTCCAATATATCCATCAATAACAAAAATAAATCAAGAACACAATATAATGAGATATTTAGTTAAATAAAAAAATTTAGTGATAATTTTGTACATATGTAAAAGTTTCACTACATTATTTAGGAAAAAATAACATTATTTTAGAGAAAAACAACACTATTTTGGTGAAAAATAGCATCATTTTAGAGCAAACCTTAAATAAAAGATGTAGTGCAATTTTTTGTAAATATGTAGAAGTTTTTCATGTATGTATATATATATATATATATATATATATATATATATATATATATATATATATATATATATATCCATCTTGGGTCATTTGGTGGCTGGGATTTATCTCATATTTTGTGATTATGTTTCTTAATTTTATTTTATGACTTTTGCAGCGATTTTTTTAGTGGTTGGGGTTTTTATGTTTCATTCCATTGTCTTTTCTCCATCTTGCTTGGGTTGTTTTCTTCTTTTGTGTTTCTTTTTCCAACCATGGACTATGCAAGTTGGTTTCATGTTTTTAATCGTCTATCGTTTGAGTATAATATTGTCTACTTTGTGATTGAATTATGTGGATTTTTCGTAGGTGGCATGCAATGTACTTGATGGGGTCATTGGGCTTGGGGCCAATGTCAATTTTCAACTAGGGAGGGGAAGCCCGAGTGTTAGTTAGGTTTGGAAATAATTGGAGCCCAAGGACACTGTTTTTAGGGCTTAAATTGGGTCGAGAAATAAAGTTGGGGGCCAAAAGTATGGTAAGACATAAAGTATAGGGGTCAGAGCGCAAAGACTGATTGGATGGGGTGTGAAGTGGAGAATGGGAGAAAGTTTGTAGGCCAGCGTGTGGTAAGATATAAAGTATAGGGAGTCATAGCACAAAGTTTACGAAAGGGACTAATGTCGCGTTGACAACGCGGTATGTAGTAGAATTTAGGAAAACAAATGGCAAGAAGGAGTAGTTTGCTTGGGCCGTGGGGGGCGCCAACTGGCAACTCCGGCATCGAATCTTGGTTCATCGACGAGTGGCGGTCCCAGTGGGGGCAAAGCGGACCATTGTTAGTTGGTCGCCGGACCACTCTCGAGTCCATGCCCTTGGGGCCTTTACGCCCCCTTGTGGGCTTGCCTTGGCCATCCGTCGACTATTGGAGGGCCTCAACTTTGTTTAGCTAGCTAGGGCTGATCACCCAGTTGGTCGACGGGCTTTTCAATAGAAGAGGCAACCGCTCGGACAGGCTGCGTGGGCGAGCCACACAGTGAGGTAGTAGGGTGGGGGTACATGCGCAGTCTTCGGGCGGTTGGCGGGGACCCCTAACATGCTTTGCGACGTAGAGCGCAAGAAAATGTTTGGCTGGAAAACACGACACCTTGTGGGGCACACGTATGGCAGAGGAATACGGAGCATTGTGGTCCATGCACCTATCCACGACATGTGGCCTTGGTTGTAGTATTAAAAGTGGGAGTGGTGTTTGTTCCAGAAACTATCAACTATTCTTCTTTCTTAACTTTTTCTTCAGTCAATGGCGCAGTATGTAAGCTGTCTTCTACAGTCCACTAGTTAGGAATAGTGTAGTCCACCCATGTGGTTGGGCTTGGTAGTTAGGCCCCTTTGGCCAAATTTATCCCTTTGTTTATTCAGTACAATTGTAACTCATTTATACTATTTTAAGGGTATTGGGCCAAATCAACCCAAAGCGATTTGGAGCTGCGATTGCTGGTTGTGCAACCCAGTATTGTGATTTGTGCATTGTAAGTTGGTGAGATGCGCATTAGTGCACTTAGTGTGGTGCATCGTTGGACATTGGAATGTCCATTGTAGATTATTTTTGGCGGTGTTTGAATGCACAATCAGAGAGTTATTGGTGCATGACACTCGGTATAAGAATACACAACATTCTGTATAGGTATTTGTTTAATATTTTAAAGGTATTTGTTTCCTTAATCTGTGTGATTTGTTCCTTTTAATCCCAGTCGTGCATCATTCATATTTAATGGTCTAAATTAGTCCTCATATCCTCACCTAAGAATGAGTCTTCATGTGAACCGGACCCTATATATATATATATATATATATATATATATATATATATATATATATATATATATATATATATATATATATACACTATACTATACTATACTATACTATACTATACTAATAAGAGCCCAAGAGAGTTAGGCCTATAATGGGTAGAAAAAATGACGGTCAAATTTTTTAATCAAATAAATTGCTCAGATTGATCATATTTTAATTTATCCTTGAGATTTCCTAATTTGTCCTTAATGAATATGATTATCCGTTAACTTTTCCGTTAAATATTATCTTTTTTGTTAATTTCTGTTAGTTCACCGTTAACTTACTCATTTATTTCAATAAGAAAGGTCTTAGGTTCGAACCCCATCTCAATCAAAGTTGGCATAATTAGTACTCTATTTTTCTCTTATTAAATTAAATAATAATTTTGTAGCTACAACAAAAAATAATACATATGCATTTCTTTAATTTATAATTATGTGTCCACAATGTGTTTTTATTCATAAAAATTATTCATTATCAATAAATTAAATAACAAAAACAAATTCATTAGTTATATTGTCTTTATTCATTATCAATAAATTAATTAAGATAAGTAATTTTATTAGTTATATTGTCTTTATTTTTCTCCAATGTAAAAATTCTTTACATTCAAATTCATGAATTGCATTAAAAAAAAATTCATCAATTGATTATATTCACTACATTGTCTATTATCTTTTTTTGTGCACTATTTTTTTTAATTAAATATCAAAGTTATAATAATACAAAATAATGTTATATATTTATTTACCAAGTATTTTATTAATAGCATGAAAAAATAAAAAAAAATATATATATAATTAATAAAGCCAATCATATTGACTACTTGAAGGATTTGTTGATAAAGTGAGTATTAAAATTACACAACAAATTGAAGTTAAAACTATTTCGCAATGTCCTTGTTTGACAATCAGCAATTAGAGGTTAGCGTTAGCGGATTATATTAGTGGATTTGACAAGCGAATTATATCAACGGTTGGTAAAAAGATATTTTAAAAAATTAGCTGTTTAGATTAACATGTAAAATGACCTAAGGGTATACATATATTTAATAATAATAATAATAATAATAATAATAATAATAATAATAATAATAATAATAATAATAATAACAATTGTTTTAAAAAATAAAAAAATAAAAAAATATACATTAAGTCAATCATATTAACTACATGGGGGATTTATTGACAAAAAGAGTATTCAAATCACACAACAAATTGAAGTGTGAAACTAACTCGCAATGTCCTTGTTTGGTAATCAGTACTTAACTCTTCAATATTAGTATATATTTAATATTTTATACCCTAATTTTTATTTGCTCTCTATTATGTCCCTATTTGGTTTCAACCATACCTATACAATTATTTTATTGACAATTATAATCAATCTTGACTATATTATCTTACATTTGTAAACTTAGAATTACCTATTTAAATACGCAAATTAGACATTCAATTATTTATGCATGAAAAATTCTAATTTAATATTGCCTTGATACACTTTAAAGTACTTATTTTAAAAAAAATATTGGGCATTATCCCAATCGCGCAATGCGTGTAAAAAACTAGTATATATATATATATATATATATATATATATAGAATCGCACTCAGGTGCGAATGCTTCGCCCAGGCGCGAAATAGGAATGAATTCTGTTCGTCCACGTGTCCAGATCTAATGGATGAGAAACACTGATTTTTTTAAAAAATGCGGTGGCATTTTCGTAAATAATTGAACATCGAAGTGCAAGTAAAATGTATTACAAGTGCATGTAAAATGTATTATAGGTGCAAGTAAAAATTTACATTGAGCATCAATACTTAGTTGCACCTATAGTTCTAAGTAGTTGCACATATAGTTATAAGTAGTTGCACCTAGGTGTATGAATGTTTGCGAGTGGTTTTCAGGGGTATTACTACCCGCTGAACTCAGATCAATGAATGTTAACAAGGCGAAATTACATGCACTTATAGGTGAAAGTAGGTGCACCTATAGTTATTACTAGTTGCACCTATAGTTATAAATAGTTGCACATATAGTTATAAGCACACCCAGGTGCATGAATGTTTGCAGAAAGTGAATGCTAACAAGGCAAAATTACATGCACTTATAGGTGAAAGTAGGTGCACCTATAGTTATAAGTAGTTGCACCTATAGTTATAAATAGTTGCACATATAGTTATCAGCACACCCAGGTGCATGAATGGTTGCGGAAAGTGAATGCTAACAAGACAAAATTACATGCACTTCGATGTTCAATTATATATATATATATATATATATATATATATATATATATATATATATATATATATAGGGATGCACTCAGGTGCGAATAAGTGCTCAGGAGGGAAATGCGAACGAATCAGCGCGCGACACGTGTCCAGATCTAATAACTTAAAAAAAACGCGGTGGCATTTTCGTAAATAATTGAACATCGAAGTGCAAGTAAAATCACTTATAAGTGCACCTATTTTCACCTATAAGTGCATGTAATTTTGTCTTGTTAGCATTCACTTTCCGCAACCATTCATGCACTTGGGTGTGCTTATAACTATATGTGCAACTATTTACAACTATAGGTGCAACTACTTATAACTATGTGTGCACCTACTTTCACCTATAAGTGCATGTAATTTTATCTTGTTAACATTCATTGATCTGAGTTCAGCGGGTAGTAATACTCCTAAAAATCACTCGCAAACATTCATACACCTAGATGCAACTACTTATACCTATGTGTGCAACTACTTAGAACTATAGGTGCAACTACTTAAAACTATAAGTGCAACTACTTAGAACTATAGGTGCAACTACTTAGAACTATAAGTGCAACTAAGTATTGATGCTCAGTGTAAATTTTTACTTGCACCTATAATACATTTTACATGCACTTGTAATACATTTTACTTGCACTTCGATGTTCAATTATTTACGAAAATGCCACCGCGTTTTTTTAAAAATCAGTGTTTCTCATCCATTAGATCTGGACACGTGGATGAACAGAATCCATTCCTATTTCGCGCCTGGGCGAGCCGTTCGCACCCGAGTGCAACTCTCTCTCTCTCTCTCTCTATATATATATATATATATATATATATATATATATATATATATATATATATATATATATATATAATCTAATTATAGTTATAACATTAATTTTTTTCCAAAGTTGGTGTGTGGATAAAATTGTAAACACCTAGGGGGCGTTTGGTTCAAGGGATCTCAGATTACCCTGGTAATCTAAGAAAGGTAATGTGAGATTACATTGTTTGGTTCAAGTAATCTGAAATTGAAGGTAATAAAACATGCCTGCCACGTAAGATTTGAGGGTATCTTTGAGGTAATGTGATTACCTAATTTTTTTTAGGTAATGTGATATTACTTTTCAATATTTCACATTTGCCCTCACTCTCTCACTCATACTTCATGTTTTTTATTGGTCAATAGACAATTACGCAGCACACCATTGACAAACCCATCAGTACTTCCCTTCTCCGATCCTTATCTTAACTACATGTTGCATGTTTAATTTTTTTTGCAAGTTTTAATTTTTTTTTGCCTGTTATTAAGTAATAATAATAATAATAATAATAATAATAATAATAATAATAATAATAATAATAATAATTATTATTATTATTATTATTATTATTATTGGAAAAAAAGAGACTTAGCTTGCTCATTTTCTTTGAGGGCATTTAGGTAATTGATGTAACATAACTTAAAATATAACCTCCAACCAAACAAGTTAATATTATATTCCTAAAACTTAACCAAACACATCAGGTAATCTTACATTCCCTTAATCTCACATTACCTTCCCAGAGGTAATCCTATTACCTGGGGTAATCCAAGATTCCGTGAACCAAACGTCCCCCTAATATATTAACCCATGAATAAATAAACTCATTTCAAATATAAAATTTAATTTAGATTTGGAGTATTAATGTAGATAATTCATGAATAATATCCTCGCATTGATTTATTAGCATATTTGATTGAAGGGTCAGTGCTGTCATTTAAGAAAGACAAAAATTTACGTTGTTGGCAAACGAAAAAAAAAAAAAAATAAAAAAAATAAAAACGGAAGAAAAAGCAGGAGAGAGGAAGAACGGCGCTGTGTCTGTCCTTTCCCGATAAGTCCCGTGATTCGCCCGAATGCCCATTTCATTTCATTTCTTTTATCCCTAAACCTTAGGGCTTTGATTCTCTCTCTCTCCTTTCTCTCTTTAGAATTTTAAACAAGTTTTCAAGAAAATTCACCTGAATTCTTGGCTTTACAGCTCCATTAAAATTGTTTCATTCTTGTTTTGTTTGTTGTGGTTGGGCCTTTTGAATTTAAGCTGCCGGACATGGTAGTGAGTCACTGAGAGAGTATCGTCGGAGTTGGCAAAGTACTAAGATAAGGAAGCAACAACATTGCCGGAATTTCGGGTACCCATTCTTAATTTCTCCGAGCTCGACTAGCCCCACTGAAACCCTCCTCAGCTCCTTCGATCTATATAGTATATATCTTCATCGCCCAAATTTTCATTTCCTGCGAAACCCATTTCTTTTTTTTGTCTGGTGATACCATTGTCCTAAAAACTCGTAAAAAAATGCAAGCTTTTTTTGTTGCCATTATAAGAAAAAGTGATGTTTAATTAGCAAGAATTTATGTTGTTGTTTGTGTGTATTCTGTGTTAATGGGTGTTGTTGAATGTCTGGCAGGAGCTGATCCGGACAAGGTTTGAGTTGATGGGAGGGGAGAAATCACAGATCGAACAGTTAAGGATTTGACTTTTGTCATCTAACTAAAACGACGAGGTTAACACTAGCTACAACCTTCTTGCGGTCTGTGGGTACAGCCACACACAAACACAAAAAACATGATTTATTTATTCATTTTTTTTATACAATAATACCAATGTTAGATTTAAAATCCCAGAATATCTACACAGTTGCAATTTTTATTTTTTATTTTTTATTTTTGTGGTTGGTCATTATCTTTGTGTTGAGCAATAAGGTCTGCATTTTCTAGGGTCAGCAAGGCTTTAATTACAGGAAAAAAAAAAAAAAGTAAACTCTCTCTCCATAGCCCTCACTCAAAAAGCCTTCTTTCTTGCCTTTTTCAGATCAAGCCATGCCGCTTAGCTTTTCTCTTCAGCCCGCCCACCCACCCACCCCAAAAGCTTAATTAAATCTCAAAGCTTCAGATCAAAGGTGGCCTGCAATTTCTATGGGTAAGCTAAGAAAAATGAGATCTTTATTATATTATGAGATGATTATTAGTAGTAGTAGTAAGTAGGTTATTTATTAGGTGATGTTTAGTTATTAATTACCTCAATAATGATAGTGATAATGATGCCTGTGTTGTTTTAATTGCTTCTGAAAATATTTTCACTTTCTGGGTTTTGTGTTCACAGAAGCTAAAAGAGAAAAGAGGATGAGGAAGAGGAGCTCGTAATAAAAGAGTTTCAGAGAGGTTTTGAAAGCAGTGTCGCCAGGAAAGAGAAAAGCTTTTGCCTTTCTTTCTTTCTTTCTTTCTTTCTCGTCTTCTCTCCTCTCTTGTGTTCTGACATTTCAACGGGTCCTGAACGTGATATATCAATCCAATCAATCAATCCCACAAAACAAAAGTACTCCTTTTTCACCTATACGTATATGGGGTTTTGTATGTATACACCACAAACCAAAGTACTACTCTACCTGCGTTGCGTAATCATCATCAATGCAAAGGACACCCAAAACCCACATCTATAAACACTCCACACCCCCTTCCCACCCCCACTACCTTACCCACAGTTTTTTTTTGTTTCTCTCTCTCTCTGTATCTCTGTGTAGCTGAGCCCTAGTTTGGATTCTTGAAACCCAGGGTACAAAGTGTAATATCACACTAGTGTAATTAAAGAGAGGTTTTGAGAAAGGTATGAAAGTGGTATGGAGATGGAGGAGATTGAAGCTCATCAGGGGTGTAGTAAGTTCCAAAGAATCGGAAATGGGAATGGGAGGATGGTGTCGTCGGGCAAGATAGCCCACAACGGAGATGAGGATGAAGACGACGGAGAGCTGAAGAGGAGCAACGGCGGCGGAAGAGGAGGATTGAATATTGGGAGTGGCCATGGCGGCGTTGGTGTTGGGAGCCTGTGCGGGTGGCCTTCGTCTGGTCGGATTGTGCGGGTTTCTCGAGCTTCCGGCGGGAAAGATAGGCACAGTAAGGTACTGACATCAAAGGGGCTGAGGGACCGGCGTGTTCGCCTCTCCGTCAACACCGCCATACAGTTCTACGATTTACAGGACCGTCTCGGGTACGATCAGCCCAGCAAGGCGGTGGAGTGGCTGTTGAAGGCGGCGGCTCCCTCCATAGCCGACCTTCCTTCTTTGAACCCTCCCTTCACGGAGCTGAGCGACGAGCGGAGGTCCAGCGCCGCCGGCCTGCAAGAACAAGAACAGGCTGACATTGAAATGGAAGGAGATCAGAATATGATGCTGTTATCCAAGTCTTGTAGTAGCACCTCGGAGACCAGCAAGGGCTCCGGCGGGGGGCTCTCGCTTTCCCGGTCGGAGGGTCGGATCAAGGCCCGGGAGCGTGCTCGCGAGCGGACAGCCGAGAAGGAGAAGGAGAAGGAAAATAATGAGACCTCCGGCCACCACAACCACGGTGTCTCCGCCCATCCCCACCACCACAATTTGAACCCAATTTCTTCCTCGTCTTTCACTGAGCTGTTGACCGGAACCACCAGTCCTGCGGCGGCCCAAACCAGAGGAGGAGGAGACACAAATTTCTTTGCTAAATCTCCCACTCCCATGGATTATTTCACTAGCGGCCTGCTATGCCAAACCTCCACCCGCCCAATGGATCATCACCACTCTTCTTCCTCGGCCTTTCCTGGGAACATTATTCATATGACCAATCCTCTAGCTTCGGTGTCTTCCCCGTTGTTCAATATGGGTGGTGGGGAGCTTCCAATTCAGCCCTTCTCCTTCGTTTCAGACCATTTAGCCCCTGCCGGAAATAATGGCAATGGCCAACAAAACAACAACGAGTACAACCTAAGCTTCAGCATTTCGCCGTCTTCTTCATCTTCCGGCCTTCCTGCCGGTCTTAATAGGGGGACCCTTCAGTCCAATTCTTCTTCCCCGTCTCTCCTGCCTCACTTCCAGAGGTTTCCTCCCTTAGACGGATCGTCACCGGGTTTCTTCACCCTCTCCACCGCCGACAACCACCACCACCACTTTCTGCCCCGATTCGACGCCCGTTTGCAGCTCTACTACGGGGACACCCACACCGCCGCCGCCGCTCGCCCCTCTTCTGACCACAAGGGAAAAGGAAAGAATTGATTTTCATTCAACTTTCACTTCCTCTCAACCCCCCATCTTCAAACCTGGTAAGCTCTTCATTTTCTTTTCTTTTTTCTTTTCTTTTTTGGTTGATAATATTCTTGCCATGTTTTCAAATTTCAAGAAACTTTTTTGGGTTTACGTGTTGCAGTACCTTGAAATGGTTCTTGATTCTTGGTTTCACCAAAAGTGGAGTCTAATGCTATACTGTTGCCTTTATGGATACCTGGGAATAGGGATTGGCTTGCTGTCTCTTTGTTTGTTTCCTTCTTTGAATTGGTTCCCTTCTTCCTAGCATGTCTATGGCCCCTGCCCACACTAGCCAGGTGTTAATTACTTACAGGATTAAACCCCACTTTAACAATGCCAGACCCTAAACCTAAATCATCCTAGCTCCCTTCATTCCCTTTTTTTTCAAATCCCAATTCTGTTTTTGTGTCTCCATGACAGTCTAAAATGGGGCTCAATAAATCTGCCCTAACATCCAAATTGGGTCTAAAGTAGTGTTGATCCATTCATGGGGTAAATAGATGTTAAAAAGATATAATAATAAGTTTTCTTTTTTATGATCAACTTATACCCCGGGTAGTTTGTTTGTCGCCTACCTTAAATGTTATGACTGGAGGCGCCGTGAAGTCTAGATTTGGATCCCTTGTGCGTACATGAAAACTAGGATCTGACTATTGGGCTGATTGCGCGACTCGCAATTTACCTCGGCAGTTGGCTCTAAAGGCGGGGTCCTGTGGCCTGTGGGTTTAAGATTAGCCCGGCGAAGTTAGAAAAAAAAATGGGCTAGGGCTAAGTTTTTAGTCATATGAGAAGATATAAAAAGATGAACTTTGAGGAAAAAATAAAAACATGTTTGGCCTATTGTGCACCCTGTTTTGAACTTTATTAACTAATATACTTAGATGGGAATATAGGTCTAAATGAAAAAGAATCTTATGAGCAGTCAGATCTTGTTAAACAATATCTATTGCTAGCTAATCATTTCTTAAAATATGATATATGAAATGATCCTTAGAATTGTTTAGGTCTTCATAAGATCTCAAAAGATCCTGGTGATGTCTCTTTAATGTTATTTGTTGTCTGTCTTGAACTGGAAACACTCTCATTTTACATGGTATTTCTGTTTTTATATTTCTATATATATCCTTCAAAATGGTTTGTTTTTCAAGAAAAGTAATCATATGTAATTTTTGTATGAAGAAATCTAGAGTAAGTTTCTGAGATATCATGGGCACATACCTAAGTTGTCTTATAGAACTCTTGAGTTCTTTATAAAGAAGTTTATATAAGAAATGGAAGGAATTGTAATTTACATCAATCTTTCTAGTCTTAGTTATCAATAGATGCTAGTGGATTAGATTTTTGGAGTATAATGGCCCGGTGAGTTAGATGCGTGTAAGGAGGTGTTTGGCAATGATCTGATATCTAAAAGCATCCTTATCAGTTGGAGATATTAGAGGGAGAATGTAAGAGTGAGTAGGAAAGAGAATAATGTGGGAGGGGAGAGAAAAAAAAAATCAAAACTGATTTTATAAAAAAAAAATATAAAAAATAAGCATGTCCATTTCTCTATTGGTTCTCTCTCCTCCGTCATTAATTCTTTTTCTTGGGCAGAGTAATATCCCAACATTTGCAGATGCTCCCCACCCCTTCTCTCTCTTGATTCTCTCTTTGCCACCATGGCATTTTAGCCTCAAAAGTAGTGAATTCTCCCCCCTTTCTCCTCTGATGTAGATGTTTTAATAGTTGATAGCTGATTGTGTTAGTCGGATCAGATTTATAAATACTTCTTTCGTGTATAGTTTTAACATAACATTTTATATACACTATTTAATTTATTACTCAAATGGTCAAATTAAACCAATTTTTTTTTTTGTTTATTTTTCTTTTAACATTTTTTTTAATTTTTAAATTTAACTTTTTGTATTTAATAAAACTTTTAAAATAATTTTTAAATATATAAATTTTACTCTGTATTTGGTAATACTAAATCAACTCATACAAAGAATTATCAATTTTTCATTCTTTTGATAATGTTGTTTATCAGCATGTTAGGAGATGTAGTATATGTTCTAGTTAAAGGCTATTGGTTCTTAGGTTGGTCTAGAGCCATTGGAATTCCTCCCTACCTCCTTGTATTTGTGACTTTTTTTTAAAAAAAAAACATTCCTGCTTAATTGTATTTGTTGTTTTAAAAAAGAAAAAAAAAAGTTTTTGTCAACTAAACTAAGAAACATCAAATGATCTAACTTGCAATGTTAATGTACACACCTACATATATGTATGTGTGTGCTTATTTATGTATATATATAGTGAATATTAGTGTAGAGGTAAATATATGTGTGCTTTATTAATTTTGACATTATTTACAAAACGATTAATGGGCATTAAGATAGATACTTGTGGCCCACACGGGCTTAACTCATTGGTTCAGTAGGTAGTATTTGGGAGTAGCGACAATGTGGGGATTATGTCCAAAGTGGACAGATCCATCCTTGTGTGCGACAGCATTTAGCCCCAAATACTCTGTTCTCTGTTGGGTTGGTGTGTGGGGCCCCTTGAGGAGAAGATAGATACTTGTGGGTTGGAGTTAGGATAAGCAATCAGTTTAATAAGGTGAGTTGAGCAATAAATGTGGAGGGTTTTGATCCAAAGTTAAAAATTAGGAAAGAATGGTTCCAAAACCAAATAAAGGTATTGAAAGAAAGCAAAATTTCTTTATTCTCATAATGATAAGTCAGCAATAATATTCACTTTAAAGTATTGTAATAGTAGACTTCAAATCATTTTAATTAACTTTTTCCTACTTTCATCATTATTATGTTGCTCATTTTATAAGCATAGGAAACTTAACTTTTTATCTGCTTTTTGATATAATTGGCTTGCAAGAACTAGCAAAGCAATATTTTTATGAAATAATAAAAATCCTGGTGGAAAATAGCATAATATATAACAAATCTCTCCCTTTTTTTCCTCATGATAAGCTGCTGCATAACAACATAAGATTCCTTGTCTGCATATAACAACAACGTAACTGTTGAGGAGGAAATGGCAGGCAACCTTAGCATAAAACCATATATGATGCATAAACAAATGATGTTTATTTCATTAAAGATTGTGTTTTTCTGATACATTGAAGCAAATTAAATTAAATTAAATTAAAGTTGTTGGTTCATTGATGCAGGTAAGTGAAGATGGAAGTGGGAACTAATGTGAAGAAGCTTTCTGGTTTCCCCTTGTGAAGTTGCGGCGCTTATTGTAATGGTAATGGTAATGGTAATTGTGAGATGGGATTTTATCCTCCATTACAAAGTATAAATTATTGTGAGGCACCCAAAAATATAATATTCCCAGGCAGGCATCCATGCATTTTGGTGCTTTTATGATGGCTGGTGCCCAGTAGCAGTCCGGTTTGTTATTTTTGATGAGATAATAGAGATCAGATGATATGTTTGTTGATTGAAACATTATTATCCCTTCCCCTCCCAGATTTTGATTTGTGTGTTAGTTTCGATCTAAGTGTGCATAACCAACCGCCATCAGTTGAATCATCATCATATCATATGCTACGTGTTCTTGCTTCCTCCATACTTTTCAGCATAATCTTCTTGTGTGTTTGTTGAATATGAATGCTACTTTCACCTGATTTTATCTTAAAGCAAAGCTTATGTAGGAATGGGACTGGGGTGGAGAAAAATCTCACAGTTCTTCTGCTATTTTAAGGTATTTAATAATCCTGGAAAACATTTTCTGCTTTTGTTTTTATTTACCGTTTTAATAGGGATAAAGTAACACGATCCAATTTTTTTTTTTTTACAACACTCTGTTTTTTTCTTTAATCTAATGAGATGGATAAAATTGTTGGGTTGGGTGGACGTAGCTTGCTGAATGTTAGGTAAGCAGTAAGCTTAATACAGATGGGGGCTAGGAAAGCGGGCTCAGGACTTGCGAGCGCAATGCTTTGGAATCTTGTCCACCTTGCAAGAAGGATACGGTTTTATGTTCATAATTACTGAACTATATATTCATAATTATAAAGTTATATATTCATAATTTTTTAATTTCATATTCATAATAATTGAACATAGAACCGTGTCCACCTTGCAAGGTGGACACGGTTCCACAGCATAACGACTGTAGTGCAAGACTGTAGAAGTTTGGTTGGGGAGATGAGAACTATAATAGATTGTATTAACAGTGCTCAATTTAAGAGTACAAGACCTATGTATATATACAAAAGAAGACAGAGGGAGACTAGGATTGGGAATTATAAGCAAACTCAAATACATAGGTAGAGTCCTAATATTCTTCCTCAAGCACATGGTAGAGATGTGACCTGTAGCTTGTCTCTAAGAAAAGAAAACTTAGGACCTACTAAACCTTTTGTAAATATATCAGCAAGTTAATCTTTGGTGGAGATAAAGTTGAATTGAATCTTTTCCTTGGCAACTCTGTCTCTCACAAAATGATAGTCAATCTCAACATATTTAGTGCGAGCATAAAAAATTGGATTAACGCATAGATATGTAGCACCAAGATTATCACACCATAGCTTTGGAACAGAAATTCCAGTGACGCCAATTTCTCGTAAGAGGGAGAGAACCCAGATTACCTCAGCACAAACATCAGCTAAACCCTTTTATTCAGCCCCGTAGAGGATCTTGCCACAGTTCTTTGCTTCTTGCACACCCAAGACACAAGATTTGACCCAAGAGAAACAGCATAACCACTGGTTGACTTACGATCCTCAGGGCAGCCAACCCAGTCTGAGTAAGAGAAGGCATGTAATTCTCTAGACTCAGATTTTTGGATACGTAAGCCATAAGATAGAGTCCCTTTGACATACCTCAACACACGTTTGGCTTGTTCCCAATGAGTGATCGTAGGACCATGCATGTGTTGACAAAGTTGATTGACTGCAAAAGATAGATCTAGTATGGTGATAGTAAGATACTGAAGAGCTCCAGCCAGACTTCGGTATTGCGTAGGATCATCATATAAATCTGTAAAGTTAGCAAGAGATTTCGAAACAGGTATTGGGTTGGATAGAAATTTGCAATTAGTCATACCAGCACGTTTCAAAATATCCAGCATATATCGTTGTTGAGATAGAAGAATTCCGTCACTACATTTAATGGTTTCAATACCAAGAAAGAAACCTGGTTCACCGAGATCCCAAATCTTGAAAGTAGTAGATAATTTTGACAATAAATAACTCACAAGATTCGGATCACTGCCCATCACCAGAATGTCATCAACATAGACAAGAAGATAAACATAAGTAGAATTCTGGGAATAATAAAATAGTGACACATCTGTTTTCGATGCCTGGAATCCAACGGGTAATAAAAATGCATGAAGGCAGTTAAACCAAGCTCTTGGGGCTTGTTTCAACCCATACAAGGATCTCTTCAACAAACAGACATGATTAGGAAATTGAACATCAATATATCCTGGTGGTTGTCGATGTAAATAGTTTCAGTCAAATTACCATTAAGAAAAGCATTATGAACATCTAGCCGTCTCACATTCCAACCAGAAGATATAGCCAAAGAAAGAAGTAACCTGACTGTGGTAGGTTTTACAACTAGACTGAATGTGTCAAAAAAGTCTTGACCAGGAACCTAATTAAATCCCTTTGCTACCAGCCTGGCTTTAATTTGTATCTCTCAATTGAACCATCCGCTTTACTCTTGGTTCGAAAAACCCATTTACATCCAATCACATTTTGATCAGGTTTATACGGAACCAGATACCATGTCTAATTCTGTAATAAAGAATTAAATTCCTCATCCATCGTCTGGCGCCATTCCAAGTGATTGACAGCCTGTGTGTAACAAGTGGGATCAATGGTGCAAACCTGAGCTGTCAAAACTATAGGAGGTGCGCGAGACTGGCTTGTGTTTCCATGTCATGCGTGCGGACATTCGGCCGAGTAGACTGGCCCCGTGGGTGCCCGCACGGACGAGCAGCAGCCACCGAGGCAGCCTGCTGTGCTGTCTCGGCCTCAATAGGCGCTGCCGGCAGTGTAGCGTCATTCTGTTCAGGCACTGCTGACAACGCTGGTTCAATCCGAACCGGTGCAGCTGGCTGTGCTGGTTCGAACTGAACGCGTGGGCGAGATGGGTCACCACAAGGTGAAGAATAGATGCAACCCATGGAAGCTTGGAGTTGTCACCTCCTCCAAGCGAGGAAGGCTAACTCCGCCTTTTTAGGCGAGAAGTCTCTAGCGGGCTCGTAGGCAGTCAGCCTCGCCCGCTGAAGGACTCGTGGAGTTGTCACCTCCTCCAAGCGAGGAAGGCTGACTCCGCCTTTTCAGGCAAGGAGTTTCGGTGGGCGGTCATGCCGCAAGAAGCTTGGAGTTGTCACCTCTTCCAAGCGAGGAAGGCTCACTACTCCTTTTTAGGCGAGGAGTTTAGGTGGGCGGCCACGCCGCAGGAAGCTTGGAGTTGTCACCTCCTCCAAGCGAGAAAGGCTGACTCCGCATTCAGACGAGCAGTTTTGGTGGAATGTCATACCGCAGAAGGGTCTCTCGGGGGCTCGTAGGTGGTAAGCCTCGCCCACTGAGGGACTTGGCTGTTTTGAAGTTCGTTCCTTTCTTGGGGGCTCGTAGGCAGTCAGCTTCACCCACTGAGGACTTGGCTGTTTTGAAGTTCGTTCATCTCTCGGGGGCTCGTAGGCAGTCAGCCTCGCCCACTGAGGGACTTGGCTGTTTTGGAGTTCGTTCATCTCTCGGGGGCTCGTAGGCAGTCAGCCTCGCCCACTGAGGGACTTGGCTGTTTTGGAGTTCGTTCGTCTCTTGGGGACTCGTAGGCAGTCAGCCTCGCACACTGAGGGACTTGGCTGCTTTGGAGCTCGTTCATCTCTCGAGGGCTCGTAGGCGGTCAGCCTCGTCCACTGAAGGACTTTGCTGTTTTGAAGTTTGTTCGTCTCTCGGGGGTTCGCAGGCGGTCAGCCTCGCCCGCCAAGGTACTTGGCTGCTTTGGAGTTCGTTCGTCTCTCGGGGTTCGTAGAATTCAGCCTCGCACAGTAAGGGACTTAGCAGTTTTGAAGCTCGTTTGTTCCTTGGGGACTCGTAGGCGGTCAGTCTCGCCCACTGAGGGACTCAGCCATTTTGGGATTCATTTGCCTCTCGGGGCTCGTAGACATTTGATTGCAAGTTGAAAAAAAAATTACTTAGCAAGATACGAAAAAAAAAAAAAAAAAGAGCAAAAGCCTGACGGGCAGAAATTCACTTTCAAAAAGCCCCGGAAGGCAGTCGGGTTACATCAAGACCAATTGCAACAACAATGAGAAAAGAGAATGAAAGCCAACTACTCCACTCATTTCTAAGCAAAATACTAGCTCGCAAAAGATCTTCCCCATGCCGTGACCAGCGTAGACCGCGTATGCATCATGATGATGGAGGAGTCCAGACTAACAAGAAGGTTCGAGAAGAGGTAACCATTATCCCATCGAAGCGCCTCCGCAATAAGATCACTGAATCGCGTGCAGCATATGGTGGGTGGGGGTGTGTCGAGGTGGCCACACTCTTGCCCTTCTCGGCGGCAGTCAGACGGGCCGGAGCAGAAGCGCGCGGAATGGAGCGTCGATAAGCCATGTTTTCCTCGGGAAAGACTTCTCGCAGTGCCTCGGGAAGGGCCGGTGCAGCAGCCGGTTCCTTCTCTCCCTAAGATTCCTTAGACGAGTCGGATGTATCGTTTTTCCCTGCAAGAAAGAAAGATTAGGCTCGAGCAATAGCCACGGAAAGTACAAACCTGTCCGAGGGGCACCGTCAGGCAACAAGCCAGCCTTCATCGTGGTCGCCAACCGCGACCAACGCCGAGCAGAGATAAGCTCGCTCCCAGCGATCCGCTGGAACAGATCAACCAGGTCTTCGAGGCAAGCCGGCCTTCCGTCAAGACGGTAGTACGACGTTTTCTAGGCCAAGGGAAAATCGAAGGCCGAAAGGTGGTCGGCTAGGTGGACAAAGAGAAACCCCTCCTTCCAGCCCTTGTGAGAGGAGACCAACTTGTCCATGAACTTGTGGCCGCCCCGAGAACGTATTTGCACGTATCTCGGAGCGACCACGCCGACTGCGGCCAAACGGAAGGGTTGGTGGAATAGCGGAAAGGTAGGTTCCACGCCAAGGCGGTGGCAGTACGTGAGGAAGGCGGTCAACTAGCAATAAGAATTAGGCACCAGCTGTGTGACAACCCAAATTTAATTTTCTAAATTTTGTTTTAAGAAATTCCAAAATAGCCATTTTTCACTCTACCAAAAATTTTATAATGAAAACGGTGTTTGAATTAACTATTTTGAGCTACGTTTTAAATAAATTCAACACCGGGACTTATTCTATTTTTGAAATCCTAAATTCTAGAGTACATTACGTACCAAATTTTTGACCCAAAAGTCAATCTGAGTGAAACCGGGAGAAATCTGAGAAACCTAAATCAAGTGGTTATCTAGAAAGTATTTTTGGAAAAATCTATTTTAACCCCCAAACTATTTAAATCTATCTTTCTAGACCTTGGTCCATGTTGCATGGTGGACCACAAGACTCCATCCCTTGTCTGGTGCTTT